AGAGAGAGAGAGAGAGAGAGAGAGAGAGAGAGAGAGAGAGAGAGAGAGAGAGAGAAGGTGGTTTGTTCTATTGTACATTTTTCTTTTTATCGCGATGAAGACTTGAGAGGGGAAGGTGGGAGAGGAGCAGGATTGCGAGATAGAAGAGAAAGGAGGGAGAATGGTGGAGAGAATACTGTATCGTTACCTGAACAAAGCTGTTGGCAGGAAAGGTGCGTTGAGCAAATGGCAGGGGCAAGGATGAATGACATGCTTTTCGTTTCTCAGTCTGTAGGGGTTATGTGCTCGCAGGAAATCGAGTATGGTTCAAGTCAGTCACACTTGAACTCCGATGTCATTTACGGTCAACTAACTTCAACGCGCTTTTTGTTCGCTTGATTTTTTTTTTGTTTGCGAATGCTGATGTCACGACTATGATTATGTTCAACTTTCCTTTTATCTTTCTTTCTAAGACTTTCTTTCTTTCTTTTTCTTTTTTTTCCCATCACTGTTCTTGTGTGCGAAGCTGCAGCAGGTCATCTAGTATGAGATGGTAATTGTTCCCCTTCACTGTCTCTGTCACATTTTGTTAAGTGGAGAAGCTGCACGGGGCGTGACAACAATCTTCCTGAAACTGCTTGTGTGTGGATTCCAGGTTGTTCTGGACGGTTTTCTTATGTGGCCCACACAATATCCAAGGATGCTATCCACTGTGCGATCATGGCCGTCGTCGATATACACAATCTCCAACGTCATTGCTGAGGTGCAGCGCTTTGTGTCGGGCTTCAAGGGCGCATCGACGGACCTTGCTGTGCTGGAAGAGGTAGGTTTTATATTGCTGGTTTCGTAACGATCGTGAGGCTGTTTGTTTTTTCAGCGTTCTTTCTCTTTCAGTTTGCAAGGTCGTGGAAGGGGATCAGTTTAGTGTGTTTGCCACACATTCAGTCGATTGCAAGGATTCTTCGTCTTTGGGCGTATTCAAACTAGAACTCACGGTCGTTATATACTGTGTTATATGTGGTGGAGAACTTTCAGTCTATGTAATACAACGAGAATGACCAGCCGCTCTATGTGGTCGAGGACGGTAGCACGGTCATGGTAGGAGAGTGTAGGACAGAATATGCGATCAAGGTGCGGTGTTAGGAAACTCTGGGTGTGAGTATGGCCGTATCCGGCGGGGGGTTCGTTATCTGGCAGACTGTGACCAATGTGGCAAGCCTAATTGTTCTGTGTGCACTGGAGGGATGAAAAGAATGGGCGATAGAAGATATTTCTGTTTCTTTGTGTTATACCGAGCACAGTTGGTACACCCAATGAACTGTTGAAATACAGACCCAAGTTTGAATCCAGATGCGATATGATGAACAGAATAAAATAACTCTGAATTACCTGGGGCCTGTCAGCTCAACGATGATATCTCGAGGCCGTCATCGCCCTTTCAAAAAAAAAAAAAAGGGTATACCAAGGCAAGTTTTGGTATTTGCTCTGTTTTATTGACTCTACAACAATCTACTACTCCCGATGTGCCGCATCTGTGCACTGCAAGCCATGCTATAACCGCGTAAGTTCAGTGGTTGATTGTTGGTCTGTCATGCAAATGGGCTAAAAGCAGAAAGCACTGGAGAAGGGCTAAAGGGGTCATAGCACTCTGAATCGTAGTGCAGTCACTCGACTGTGGTAACAATCTCAGGAATGCACGCCAAGTCAAGTGACTGCACTACGATTCACATTCCAGTGCTTTCTGAGATTGTTACCACAGTCCCGTTGTGCAGTCACTTGACTGTGGTAGGAATGCACGCCGCAGCCATGTGTGATCTTCAAGGCAGAAAGCACTGGAGGAAGGGCTAAAGGGGTCATAGCACCGTGCGAGGAGGCAGTGGTGTATACAGTATTTTATTTCAGAAATACTTGCCACAGTGATTGATCCGTTTGAAGTTCGGAGTCCTTCATCTTCCCTAAAGGAATTAGGGAGGGGAGTAGGATATGGGATAATAAGAATGACCAGAAGGGAGGGCAAGGGGAGGGAGAGATGGATACTGAGGAAGATAGGTTGCTGGCATCTTACACTGGGGGAGACGTGAGTGTAATACCATCGCTACCGTCTTCGCACGAATAGAATGTACAGTAATTGTGCCTGCAGCTCGGGCAACTGTCAGTCTAGATAGAGCGATAATGACCGTACATTCAATTCAGGAGATGACGGTAGGCAGTGACATAGCAGTGACATGGCAGTGACAATTCCTTGTCTGGAGTCAGACTCAGGAACAGTGGAACCATGAGTACAAGGAATATCCTGGCCAAAGCCGCCAAACACCTTTTCTAAGTTGTTTTTACCATAATCATCACCTTCTTCTTCCTCTCCCCTTGCTGAGCTGTTGCTTGAACGCTTACCCTTCGCTCTGCTCCTCCTGGCCAACTGTTGTTGTTGTTCCTACTACGCCACCAAGTGGACAAATGAAATGAATGGTGACAAGCGTGAAGGAGAGAATAGGAAGGGATCCTGAAAAGACGGTGGTTGCGAAGGACAAGAGATGACGGAAAGGAGTGTGTGGCAGTGGGAGAAAAGGTGTTTGATGTCACTGGCAACGGTGGTAGGAACAGGTTGGTGGAGAAGAATGACAATGCAGAAGAGCGCTGGCAGGGGGAGGCAATAGCGATGATTGTGACATGAGGGAGAGAGGAGGATTACAACTATACAAGTGAGGATTGGCTGGAAGAAAAGGAGGAGTATCGCAAGGGACATATGGTAGGGAGAAGGGGGAAGAGGAGGGGGAAAAGGTGGTGCTCAAGTTACGGAACAGTAATAGGAGCGATTCTAGGATGAGCTGATAATGAGGATGATGCAGCACAGGAGGAGGAAGAGGAGGATAAGGAGGTGCTCAAGGTACAGAATGGTAATAGCTGCGGTTGTAGTAGGAGGAGGAGGATGCACGGCTGGAGGAGGAGGAGGAGGAGGAGGAGGAGGAGGAGGAGGAGGAAAAGGATGAGAAGATGGGAAAAGAGGAGGATGGTTAGCAATATTAGGAGGATGATAAACGGCCAGAGTGTTAGGAGTAGGACCACGTGTTACGAGAGGTCAGTGTGTGAAAGGACGACTGTCCTTCCCCAAATAGAACGTACGGTCTTTGTAGCTGTATTTGAGGCAACTTTCTGTCTAGATACAGCAATAATGACCGTACGTTCTATTCAGGAGACGACGGTAGTAACTGTGCACTTAGGACAGAACGTGAAAGGGGAGAGAGTGCGGGGATAAGGGAGGGTGTTTGAGGTGCAGGTACGTCATTCGGATGGCACTCATCACTGCAAGGTCCCTTCCACAGGTAATGAGACACAGGTTTCGACAACCTGCCTCGATTGACTCTCTACATCTGATGTTGCCCTGCTGTTCTGTTTCAACTATTCAGTATTTGCTAGTATTCGGCGGTTTGCATACCAATTCTCTCTTTTCTTTAGTTTTTTTTCTTTTTTTCTTTTTTTTTCCCAGCAAACCATTCAGTATCGATTGGTTTTCACTGCTTCACTGTAGTTGAATTTCCCTGTGTGATTTATACCGGGATCGCACTTTTATCTCATCTCCACATATGAGTGGGCCTTGCCTGCTCACAGATGACTTTTGTGTTGCTGTTTCTATTGTTGTCGTTGGTGCATCAAGGTACATTCATCAACCAATTGGAGGGCAGGAAACTCAGTTTCTCAGCAAGGTTATTGTGTCCCGTATTGCAGGTACTGGCAGAGCTTTACTTGCTTGACAAGCAATATGAGAAAACATTGACTCTTATGTTGCAGGTAAAAGTCTTCCAGGGTGCTTTGATTGTTTGATTGGTTGTTCGGCCCCTCGATTGTTCAAGATGGGATAGATATGATGCTCCAATTTTTCAGAAAGAACGTGGCATCCCCCGCGGATCTCGGGGGGTGCATAGAGTTTGAAGTTTTAATTCTTTGCCTTTGGATCTTGTTTTGTACCGCTCAGTCCAGTCTTCATGCAAGAGTAGAAATGACCAATCAGACCAGGAGAATAACCAGACTTAAAGCACTAGTACCTTTCCCGCGTGGGAAAATAGGGAAAACTGGCAGTTTTCCCAAACTCCTGAATCTTCGGAGGACGGGTCCGATGACGACTACCTTCGATAAATCCGATCGGCGGTCGTCATGTCGTTTCGGCCTCTGGAAAGGTCGGACGCCTACCCGAGGCCCGCTATTTTCCTAGGCGGGAAAGGTACTGGTGGTTAAAAAAAAAAAACAGTCTTTTCCTTCTTGGACCATGAGTGGCTACGCTGTCATATGCATCTGGAGCTCATAATTATCCGGATACGTTCAAAATGCTGTAATCGTCCAGATGCGCCTGGTTGACGAAGGTGGCCAAATGTGTGTAGCATTTTGCGTAGTGGAGCGAGGTCCAATCCCCATTAATGTCTGGACTCTGTAGGCTGGCGCTGCTACGAAGCGGAACACTCCGCTGCCTGAACAGCTATAACCTTCTCTGAAAAAGGAAAAAGAAAACTTCTTTGATCAACTGTGTGATAGCATATTGTAAACTAATAACGTAATGTAAATAACGTAATGTAAACTAAGTGAAAAATGGGAAAAAAAAGCCTGCAGGGCCGCAGTATGCAGGTATATAACCTTTGCAGAAAAAGGAAAAACAAAAGTTCCTTGTCAAAGTGCGTGATAACACAATGTGAACTAAGGTTTTTTTTTTTAAATCTTGTTATTTTCATTAGTATACTGATGTACATAGCTGCCTACTCTGACCGCTCCGACCCAAAAATTGCTTGTCTGCTAGTTATTACTACAATGATACAATCCTTTCAAGGACGCACTCTTGCCTCATCAGTATGCGACAATATGCAAGTTGAAGTAAGTTTGTTTGGACTTTAGTTGGCACTGGTTCTAGACCAGATGTCATCAAGTACAATGCTGACTTGCTCGGCTTGAATGCTATGCCTGCCACAATGTAGTAGCTAAACCACCAGATCATTTCTTGGTATGGATCCGAAATTTCTAAGTTGTCACGGGGACTTCTTTTCCGGTGCACAAACTGCAGAGTGTGGTCCGGCGTAATGCTGATCAGTGCCAATGGTGTTCTCCTACCAAAGCAGTATCCTGTCACTGAAATAGCCACCATATAGCTTCACACACACACACACACACACACACACACAGAGGAGGGTGGCGGAGAGAGATGGCTACTATTTGCGTGTAAAAGAGAGAGAGAGAGAGAGAGAGAGAGAGAGAGAGAGAGAGAGAGAGAGAGAGAGAGAGAGAGAGAGAGAGAGAGAGAG